ATGTCTGTCTTCTTCCATTCTAGTGTTATTCCTAGATATTTGTATTTTTTCACTCCAATGCCATTCCTAGATATCTTGTTCCTCTTGTTTCTCCCAGTGCTACTCCTAGAAGTCCTGTCTCTCTTCTATAATCCCCAATGGATCTTCTTGGGTATCTTTCAGTGCCATTCCTAAAAGTTTTATATGTTCATTCAGTGTCATTCCGGGATGAGTTTTCTTCTTTGCATTCAGTGCGATTCCTGAATGTAGTGATTTACCTTTACTTTCAGTGCCATTCTTGAAAGTTCTTTATCACTTTATTCAATGCCAGTCTTGGATATCCTGAACTATTTTTATCCAATGCCATTCTTGGATGCTTCTGATGTAGTTTCCAGAACTTTTCTCACTTCATTCAATGCCATTCTTGGATGTTGTGTTTCCTTCTATCCAACGCCATTCTTGGATAGCTTTTCCTCAGCTGAGTCTGATGCTATTCTTGGATACCTCTAATGTTTACCTTTGTCATCCAATGCCATTATTGGATGTCCCTAATGAATTTTTTCAAATGGAAGTTTTGTTTCCATCCAATGTTATTCTTGGATGTTGATTGATATATCGTTAGTTGAATTTGTCTCTGTCCAATGCCATTTTAGGATGTCTCTGATGTTTTCTGTTGGCGTGTTTAATGCTATTCTTGAATTTTGTAGTTCCTTTCATCCAATGCATTTCTTGGATATCTTATCCCCAATAGAGTGTTTTTAACCTCCACTCAATGCTATTCTTGGAAGACGCTGTTCTTTTTAACGAAAACTTTCTTGTTGTTGTACAATGCCATTTTTGGACATCTATTGGCATACTTTTGTCTCGTTCATAGTTTCAATCCAATGCCATTATTGGATATCACTACTCGTCTTCCAAGGGTCGTGTCCCTCTCTTTCCAACTATTGACGAACGATTCTTATCACCTTGACAGATCTCTAGATATAGCTTATGCTCCCCAACGTGTCTTTTCACTCAATTTATCGTAAATCTCTTGTTTTGAGTTTCCCCGCATGGGTGTTTTATCCTTTGCGTTCATATCATCTTATGGCATCTCAGGGCTAAAAATTTGGTTTTATGTATTTAAGTTTTTTCTATCTTGTCGAGACAAAGTTTTTAACCCTCATATCTCCTGATAGAAGAAACTTAAATAGGGGCAGCTGTAATACCCTAATTTTTTAACCCTAAAATTTCTCAAATTTCATTTGCATCTTTGCATCACAAACAAGATCACACTTTGGTTCCTCTATCTATCTCATCTTTGGGTTTATACCTTGCAGAGATCACCAAGCACTTGTGTTCTCTTTGTTTGCTTTTATTTTGACTGTTTATGTTTACTAACCCTAATCAAAATCCAAAAATATGTTTGTTTTTCCTTTACTAACTTTTTCAGGAAGAGGTTTGGATCAAGAACACCAATCAACAGTCCCTCAGCTTGATTAAAATTCATCTGAAAAAGTCAAAGTTGATCTGCAAACAATTCAAATTCATTTGACCAAGAGTTTCCCATGATTTGATTGACTTTTATTCAAGATATTCTAAGGTTCGTGTGTTTATTTCCATGTCTTCTTTGACAAGTTAAAATAATTGAGCTAGAGCCAAGACAACACATCAAAAGGCAAATTTTCACACTTTTTCACTATGTTAATCGATTAACACATTTGTACATACAAATGGTTAGTCGATTAACTAGTGAGTTTTTCGTAAAAATGAGCCAAATTCTAGTTCTGCAGCATTTTGGCACAAACTTTCAAATATTTCATCATGAAAATATTCTAGATCACCTCATTTTAATTCCCCTACCTCATCATAATTGATTCCCACTATACACCTTAGCTAATCACCATTTGATTTTGATTTTGCCTCCAAATTCAAATTCCAAGCCTAATTTTGGTTCCAAACCAACAAAATTTCCAAGCCTAAATTCTCTAAGTAGAGGCTTCATTTCATTCTTTCTGCAAGCTTTGATAGCCAAATTTACCATGCTAAAATTTATCTCAATTCCCTCAACTACCAAATTCACCAAAGCTCTTTCTTCTTTTGAAGGTTAGTAAGTTCTTCATGGGAACTAACTAATCTTTGAGCTAAAACCTTCATCCAATCACTTTTTCATCATCAATTTCAGTAGATCAAGGATTTGGAGTGTGGTTCTTGAAGTTAATTTGAAACAATTTCATATTTGAAGTGGTAAACCCTCATTCCACCATTGTTCTTGATCCATCTTCCACAATTTGATCTATTATTGATCCTTGTTGCTTGATCTATGGATCTTGCAAAAAAAAATTATTGGTGATGTTTGCTGTTGTTTTACTTGAATTTTTGTGCTAATTCTCATTCATTATCATGAAGTGTTTGAATAAATGGTTAGATCATGAATGCTGAATTTGTTTTTCAAAATTTTTGCTGTCTTAGCAGTGTTAATCGATTAACATATTTTTACATACAAATGGTTAATCGACTAACTAGTGTCCAGAATGTGACTTTTGTTGGTTTTTGGGACTATTTTGGTTCCATTTCTTTTTCCTTCCATTTCCTTTAGTTCTTTGGCTTGGATTACATCTTTGTGTGGTTCAATTTGACATTTCTTCATCTATTTCTCATTTTCTTTTGATCGTTGGAAATCTTTGATATCATTGGAACTTATTTTAAGTTCTTGGTGAATATGACATTGTTACCTATTTTCTTTTCATACGGTATTGCTTTCGGAGGATGATATACATATCGTCTCTCTAGAATACATTAGTACAAACATTCTTATTGACCGACCTCATATAGTCGTGGCTTCTACATAAGCCCGATTACGATTGCTTAACATAGCACTACATGTGTCCCGTATCGAAAAATGATCATTCGTGGCTCAAACTTAAGTTTGAAAGTCCAAGTATGGTTGATTATTTGTCTTGGGTCCATTACTTATGAAACTTGTTGTTAGGAGGCTTTGGTTTTATCAATCCTTTAATGAGTCTTTACTAACTTTGGCTTAAGTTCATTATTTAACCATCATTGATCATTTATTCTAACAACTAATCACTAACTCATTAACAATAGTATTGTAGTTATTTTGTTTATGTTTCCTTCTCGCTCCCTATCTCTCTTTTATTTTTATGCTCCATTATTATCATCTTATATCATATTATTGTTTGTGCTTCCGCTCTCTTTTCCTTTTGTCCCATTTGGATCAAAAACATTAACAAAGGCTTAAACCCCTAAAAACTTGTTCTCTTAATGGTGGAATATGGTTATTGTTCTTTGCATTGGACATGGAGTATGGGACCTAGAACTAGGATCTTAACCTATGCTTGGAAGCTTGTGATGCCAAACCTTGGATTTTGGGTACTTGGATTTCCCTTTTGAAAACTTATTTTGATCAATGCCTAATCAAAGGGAAGAATGCTTATATTGTGGAGCTTAATTGTATGGTTATACAGTTCTTATCCTTAGCTTTTATCTCTTTTTGCTTTAGGATAGTCACTTCTTCCTCACCCCTTCTTCAATTTTCAAATCTTCTCCCTTTTTCAAAATCTTTCTTATTTTCAAACTATAATCTCTTTCACAATAAAACATTGAATTTTGTCAAGTGCTTTTCCAAACCTTTTTCTTTAATAAATTTCAACCAATGTTAATCATACTTTGACTCTTTTCAAAAAGACATAAAAAATATTCAAACTCATTCAAACTATTTTTGTGCCTTATGCACTTTTTCTTTTAAAACTTTTCCATAAGTTTAGACATGAGTCATCTCTTTAAGTTGAATTATTCGCTTCGAAATGAAGACTTGTGTTAACATTTAAAATCAATCATAACAAATCTATTTTGTTATTTGTACCACGAACTACGGGGTTTTGATCCTTTATTGCACTTTGTGGGTACATAGTGTAATACCCTAATTTTTACCCCTAAGATCCCACATTTCATCGGCATATCATTCCACAAACAAGGTCATATTTTTAGCTTTCGCACCCTTATGGGTTTCTTACTTTCTTTATGTTTGTTTCTGTTTACTAACACCTAATCAAAATACCAAAAATATTTTTTGTTTCTTCTTCTCTGTGTGTTTAGGGTTTTGCAAGGAGATTAATGGCAAAGAAATTCATTCAAGTTTAAATCAGATGGACGTTTGACCTCATCTTGGTCAAACTATCAAGAGTTTGCTTCAACCATAAGTTACCCGTGGTGGTGGGCTATTTTCTCAGGAAATGTGATTTTTCAAGATCAAATTGTCTTGTGTTGAAATTCATTGATTTATCAAGCAATGTTCTATGAGAAGTTTGATCCAGTTTTAATCAGAGATTCAGAGCATTTTAATAAGGATTTAAGTTGATGGTTGATGCTTTGATACAAGTTATTCAGTGGTTCGTATTTGAATCTATCAGGGTAAAGTCAGAATTTAGTTTAGATGATTATTACTTCAGGTACAAGTAATTCCTTGGTCCATGAATAGTTGTATTCATTTTATCAGAGATGTGTAAAAAAAAAGCAATGAAGGTAGGTTTTGAATAAAAATTGAGAATTCATGCTACGAAACCTTGACCAAAAGCTTTGCTCTAGCCAATACAAACTCACAAGTTCATTCGGAAATCTATGTTACCCAACCTCCTGGAGACTACCCTGTTAATCTAAGAGAAGACATTGTTAAGGAGTTTGTCAGGATCTGTTCATCATGCAAGCTTGTTGAGTGTATCAATACATATTTGTTAAAAGATGGTCCAAATTTGGGCTTTCAGTTGTTAGAGATTCATAGTGCTATGCAACAGTTTCTGTTTCACTGTCGGCTGATAACACATGATCGCGTGCTTAAGGATTCACTGATGTTTTATGCAAGGACACAATTAAATTCAATGAGAGGGGCTGCTGATAGGTATTTATTGGTAGAACAACTTTTGGATGTGATTTACAAGGGTCTTGATCAGGGTAGCATGTCTAGTATTTCAATACCGCGGGGAGAAGGAAATTTGAAAAAAGCAGAAGAGCGGGCGAGTGAAATGAGCTCGAAAGAAAGCTGCAGAAGCGAACTTCGCATCGCAATTCGACAACTCAGCGATCGCTGTCTCTATTCCGCTACCAAATGGGCTTCGGAACAATTGGTAGGGATCGAGCAAGATCCATCCAAGTTCACTCCTTCCTATACCAGGTTTCAGCGTGGAAGCTCAAGTATTCGCCGCAAGTTCAGAACTCATGAGGTCACCGCTACGCCCCCTGCCGGTGTTTCCTATGTTGTTACGCCTGTTATGGAAGAGGATGCGCTTGTTGACACTGATTTTTACCTTTTGGCTAAATCTTACTTCGATTGCCGTGAGTATAAGAGAGCTGCTCATGTTCTTCGGGATCAAATTGGACGCAAATCCCTTTTCTTGCGATGCTATGCTCTCTATCTGGCGGGAGAAAAGCGAAAAGAGGAAGAGATGATAGAACTAGAGGGACCTCTGGGTAAGAGTAATGCCGGGAATCAGGAATTAGTTTCTTTAGAGAAGGAGTTATCTACACTTCGCAAGAATGGCACAATTGATCCCTTTTGTTTATACTTATATGGTATTATACTGAAACAGAAAGGCAATGAAAATTTGGCACGGACAGTTCTTGTGGAATCTGTATATAGCTACCCTTGGAACTGGAATGCCTGGACTGAGCTGCAATCCTTATGCAATTCAGTTGATACCTTGAACAGTCTTACTCTTAGTAGTCATTGGATGAAGGAATTTTTTCTTGCCGGTGTATACCAAGAGTTAAGGATGCATAGTGAGTCTATGTTAAAATATGAATACCTACTTGGAACTTTTAGTTTTAGTAATTACATCCAAGCCCAAATTGCTAAAGTCCAGTACAGTTTGAAAGAATTTGATCAAGTTGAAGCTATATTTGAAGAACTGCAGAGGAATGATCCTTACAGAGTGGAAGACATGGATATGTACTCCAATGTGCTATATTCTAAGGAATGCTTTTCTGCTTTGAGTTACCTTGCCCATAGAGTATTCCTGACTGATAAATATAGACCTGAATCTTGTTGTATTATTGGAAATTATTACAGTTTAAAGGGGCAACATGAAAAAGCAGTTGTATATTTTAAGAGAGCCCTTAAACTGAACAAAAATTATCTCTCTGCTTGGACACTTATGGGTCATGAATTTGTAGAGATGAAAAATACTCCTGCTGCTGTGGATGCCTATCGTCGGGCTGTTGATGGATTTGTCAATCAACATCGGATCCCGAATAATTCTGGCACAATGTCGGATGAGCAATCTCTAGGGAAGGAAGAACCTGAGCTGATTAAAAATCTCCGTGCGGCAATGATCTCTCTTCAGAACCTTCTGACTAGCAATCCAAACTTAGCATCCATATTTTCTAATAAAAACAAGTTGCTACCTCTTTTTGAATGTTTTTCGGTGGCCGAAGCATCAGACAGTAACATTCTTCAACTTTGCCTTGCAGTGTTGTCACTCTTGACAGCACATGCTCCCTGCTTGCAAGCCATGGTTGCAGATGGATCTAGTCTTCTGCTTTTATTGCAAATGCTTCACTCAGCTCCCAGTTGTCGTGAAGGGTCTCTCCATGTTCTCTATGCATTGGCAACCACACCAGAACTGGCCTGGGCAGCTGCTAAGCACGGCGGGGTTTCTTTACATTCTTGAATTGCTATTGCCTTTGACAGAAGAAATACCACTCCAACGAAGAAGCTTTGCAGCCTGGATTCAACGATCAGCTTTGGGCTCACTTTAACCGTCTTTGTACACGGTATGCGACAGAAGATGTTCTTATCCACAAGAGGTTACTTCATTTAGCACACGATCCAGCATCTTGCCCGCGAGTTTATGGTAAAAACAAGGCGCAGGAAGGGAATGAGTGAAGATGTAAGTATAGGCAAGTTCTTTGATGAGGCTATGATGGTGGAACTTGCACAGCAAGCAAATTATGAGTTATTTGCTTCCGAAGTTGACATGTATTTGACAGAGTTATTTACCATACTACTGTGGCAACATCTTTGTCTCAACAGAACGAACACATTGAATGCGTAGAGAACATTTGTCATTCGTTTTTGAGCATTCATGATAAGGCAGTTGTTAGTTCATCTTTGTTAGAAATGAATTCAATAGCAGCAAGACTCGCCAAGCATCTGCGACTCTCTTCTTACGATGCTGTGCCGAGAAGCGCGACGATGTGGTACTCAAATTTGATATCTGAAACTGATGTTGATCATCAGCCTTCAGCAAACAAGGAAGAATTAGATGATGAGTTTTGATGATTTTCTTGGTGGTAAACCTGAGTTACAGCTGCAGATGTGGAAAAAGCAAGCCAAGATATGCTGACCCCACAAACCTTCCACGTCACCCAAGTGAGCTGCAAAAGAAAAAGTCCAAAACGACATGAAAAAGTTTCAGTAAAAACTCACGCGTAAATACCCAAGAACCAAAACGCAGAAAAATCACACAAAACGGAAAATCATTTTTTCTCACTCTCAATCTATAAATAGGGTGCATACCTCTTCATTTTTCTCAAGCTTGAAAAGCCAGAAAACTTATGCAGAAATATGATCCCAATCTTCAATCACCTTCAAGCTTCATTCAATTAAACTTCATAATCCATAATCCTTGAAAATTCATCAACATTATCCTTAATTTTTTTCTTTAACCATCACCATCAAAACCGGATTTCACCTTCGCATCTCACAAATCGTGGCAACTCTTCATCAACATCAACAAACAACAACTCGAGCACAATTTGCAAAGAAGAAGAAACAGAGAGTGTAAGAATTGATTATTCGAACCTGATTTCTTGTTCATCATCAACTTCGATCCAATTTCGTGGTTGAGTTATTTTACTGTAAACGTTGTTTACAAAAATGAGAGTGAGAGAGGGAGTATTTGTAAACGGTGAAAGATTGATAGAAGAAGATGGAAACTGTTTTTTTCTTGCGAGATCTACCGAGAGATGATGCACAGTGCCGCGAGAAGATATTGTTTTCTGAATTTCTATTTCTCTGTTGTCCTTTTCACTTATTTTTTTTCAATTATATTTTTCTTCTTTTTTTAATTTTTGATTTTTTTTTTCTCTTAAAATCTTGAGCCGTGTGGCTTGTTACCATAATCATCACCATTTTTTGTTTAATAAACCTTTTTTTTTTCTTTCTTTAATTTTTCATTCAAATTTTCTTTTCCTCTAATATTTTTTTTTATATAAATAATTTCTTAAAATAGATTTAGATCTTGAATTTTGATAAGATCTCATCAATATCAATGGACTTTGGGTGTCGATTTTATCCACCAAGAGAGGTGATTGATATTGATGATGATTTAATCGATTTAAAGATTCAAATTATGGTTTCTTTTCATTTTAGTTCTCTTTCTTCTTCTTTTTATTTTTGATCGATGAAATCTATAGATCATAGATTGTTGATTATTAAGGTTGTTTAATCTTCATTATTTCAAATCTATGGATGAATAATCATTGAGATAATTCTCCGTACTTTGGAATAGTGATAGATTACCTTTGATAATTGATGAAAAATCTTGATTATGATGAGATCACTACCTCTTTTCTTTTTGTGTGGCATGTTTTAGGAGAGTGATTTACATATCACTTCTCTAACATGTATTAACACTAACATTTTATTGACCGGCCTCAGATAGTCGTGGTTTCTACATAAACCCGATTACGATTGCTTAACATAGCGCTAAAGTGTCCCTTAATCGGAAAATGATCATTCGTGGCTCAAACTTACGTTTAAAAGTCCAAGTATGTTTAGTTGCTTGTCTTAAGTCCAATACCTATGAAAATCATTGTTAGGAGGCTTTGATTCTATCAATCCTCTAATGAGTTTTCATTAACCTTGGTCTAAAGTGCAAGAATTAATCATCATTGATCATATGTTCTAACCACTAACCACTAATTCACTAACAATATCCTTGTTTAATTTTGTTTATATTCTCTTCTTACTCCTTATTTCTTACTTTTATGTTTCCATATTATCATTTCATATCATATCTTTGTTTATGTTTATGTCATTTTCTCTTTGTCCACTTGGACCATACTTTGTTCAAAACACTAATAAAGGATAAAACATCTAAAAATTTAGTGTTATTAACTTTGTGGTTATGCTCTTGGACTACTCATAGACCTTGGACTTTATGGACCTTTGGACTTAGAATTAGGGCTCTCATTCCTATGCTTGGAGTATTGTGGATCTTAGCCTTTATTTGGCTCGCTCATTAGCTTATGCTTTAAATCGGATGGAATTCTTTTTCGCTTGCTATGGAGTGTGCTACAAGTCGGTTAGATCTTTCTTACCTCTAGCTCTTATTTTGGTTTTTAGGATAGTCACTTCATCTCCTCCCCTTCTTAAATTTTCAAAACTTTCTCCCTCTTTCAAAACCTTCTTGGTTTCAAACTTCAAAACCGCTTTCGCAATAAAACCTTGACTTTCGTCAAGTGATTTTTAAACTTTGTTTTTCTTAATAAAAGTCAATCAATGTTAATCATGCTTTGACCAATTTCAAAAGACATAAAAAATACAAAAACTCATCAACTCTTTTTGTGCCTTTATGCACTTTTTCACTTTAAAACTTTTCATAAAGTTTAGACGTGATTCATTTCTATAGTTGAGATGTAAATCTCCTATTCCCCATATTATTAAGACTTTGACATTTTCCACGTTGATGTTGAGTGATAGTCTTGTTGATAATCCAAGCAAATCCTCCATCTTTATGTGACGCAAATGTTGTCTTAATACTCGTGGGTGGATAGTCGCAGTTTTCTCCTTGAAATGACGACTTGTCTTTACATCTAAAATCAATCAAAACCAACAAATTTTTGTCATTTGTACCACGAACTACGGGGTTTTGATTCCATATTGCACTTTATGGGTACATAGGCATGAGACGATAAGTCTCTCCAAACACAAAAATATAAAAAAATAATTCACTTCTCATCTCCCCAATCTCTTTTCAAACAAACCATTTTCAAACCAAAAAGCGTAAATATTTCAAAGGGCTCCTATAGAGTACTATAGACGTTTTGGGTGCTAACACCTTCCCATTGCGTAACCAACCCCCTTACCCCGATCTCTGTCTCGTGTTCTTATTTTAGAACTCTTTGGTTTTGCTCGCTCTTTTTCCTTTCCTTTATTTGGATAAAATAAAAGTGCGGTGGCGACTCTTGTTTTTTTGAGTTAAGTTAATTAATAACTTACGCTCATGATTTTTACCGCTACAGAAAAGTGGCGACTCTGCTGGGGACTCCAACGGTTCCTAGTGGGTTTCGCCTACTTTGATTTATTTATCGCTTTCTGTTTGACTTGTTTGTTATTGATTGTTCTGTTTTGGTGCCTGGTAATTTGTGTGGTGAGATAAGTCCTAACCCGGACTTGAGTGCACTTATGATAGGAGGGTGGTATAGTCTTGTTGGCTTACGTGGAGTAGTCCTTACTAAGCTGACTTGAGATCCCCCGCTCGGTGGAGGCCCCTTTGGAAATTACTGATGTCTTACGAGTAGTCGTAATTGATATTACTTTTTCCGACTGGGAGCCTGAGAAGCTGAGGACCTTAGAACCCTTTAACCCATCTTGGCCTTATTAGGACGTGGTGCGGTGGCTGTTCAGGTGTAGACTTGAATTGGTCGTTACGCGATACCACACTCAGATGAGTTTCTCTTGAGAATATTGTTGGCCGACGAGTAGTCGTTTAAGCCGATAATATCCAAAAGATGGAATTATGATTCTGGGAACTTTTTAGAACCTTGTTCTACAGGTGATGATATAACCATAGTACATACCATTGTGGGTTGGTTGATTCTTACCTTTAGCTCCATGCTCGTGCCGAACCTTTGAACCTGTGTGCTTTGTATGTCTTGTTTGTGGGTGTTGCATCTTGCACTCATGCATTCATGAGCATTGTGTTTCAGCTGGTTTTTAAGGATCTCAGAGATTTTCTTTTGCAAACATCGCAGATATTGTTGATTATGGATATTGGAAGGAGAAACACTCAGAAGTACGGTTTTCGGGCTCCTGATCTTACAGAGTTGAGAAAGCTAGTGTCCTTGGTAGATGATCGTTCAGGCTTCCTATCTCGTTATGGGAGACTTTTATTTGTTCTTTCTACCAATATTGAAGACGGAATTCTGAATACCCTTATGCAGTTCTATGATCCTATTTACCGATGCTTCACATTTCCCGATTATCAGCTCATGCCGACCTTGGAAGAATATGCTTATTTGTTGGGTGTACCGGTTTCTGATAAGGTCCCGTATACTGGTTTGGAGGAAGCTCTTAAACCTCAAGATATTGCTGAAGCTACCCATTTGACGAAGTCGGATATTGATGCAAATCTAAAGACTAAGGGAGGCCTCAAGGGTTTAACTGCTAAGTTCTTGATTGAGAAGGCTACTTTATTTGCTGACATTGGTCGCACATTGGCGTTTGAGGCTATATTGGCTTTACTCATCTATGGACTAGTCTTGTTTCCTAATATTGATAATTTTGTGGACATTAATGCTATTAGGATTTTCTTGATTGGGAACCCTGTTCCAACTTTGCTTGGTGATACTTATTTCTCCATCCATAGTAGGACTTCTAAGGGAAACGGTACCATTGTTTGCTGTCTACCTCTGCTGTATAATTGGTTTGTTTCACACTTACCTC